AGAGAGAGAGAGAGAGAGAGAGAGAGAGAGAGAGAGAGAGAGAGAGAGAGAGAGATATGTTGGGTAGTGTGAAGGACGTATAAGATAATGGTGGAGGTGTCATTTTGCTGAAAACCCTGATTTTACAAAAATTGATAAAGTTCAAATTTTTTTTGGTGTCTTCCTACAACTAAAATATCAAAAGATAGACCTTTTTCCCTTAATGAAATATCTTCCTGAAACAAGGTCATGAAGAAATTTATCATGTGCATCAAGTGCATGAAGGTACATGCTGTTGTAGCACCACTTGTTTTTATTTATTAGTTTGCCCAATATTTTTAATACTAAACCTCTTCCTAAAATGCACTATTACACAATTTTTTAGCCTCTGGTTATGCATGGCTTACCATTGGGAGGAACTTAAATAAGTATTTAACCAACTCCTCTCACTGATCGTGTGCTCTTCCAACCTCAGTCCCATTCAATGCACTGCAAGTCCACCAAGTTTGTTTGAAATCGCCTTAATTTTACAGAGTTCTCTTGAAACATCTACGCACAGACATTTATATATATTAAGATTCTGATAAAAACTTATAATGTTCACTAACCTTTTTGTTGCAGGAAGCTGTTGGACAAGCCTTGTAGATAGAATTTTCAGATTTAATAAGCATTATAGTAGCCTTGCAAGTGAAATATTCGGCTTTGTCTCCTGTTCCAAGCTGTTTAGCTCTTGCTTCTTGCAATGTCATCCACTGACCACCTAAGAAGTAAAACAAATTGTCAAGAATATTATATATCACACATTACAGAAAATGAAGTTCATGTTTTGTCTCGATTCACTAAGAGTCATTACTTTTAAATCTAATGTCTCATATAGAATCTGCCTGCGTCATTCCATACTGAATTGTATTATGGACACAGCCAATGATGATATAGACTGATTTTGTAAACTAAATCTTTATTTCATAAACGAATAAAACACAATGTACTCAACTTTCAATGAACTCATTACATGTTGAGAACTATACTATGCTTTGTAGTAATGATCTATTGCCCATAAATATTTTTTGTAACATGGACACGAGTCAATTAATTGAAGTTTGTTCATCGTATTTTTCACAACTTGAAAAATTTTATTCTTTTAGAATTTGCCTAATTTGTTTCACTAACAAAAAATTTTCTAGGACCATCATATATCATTAACACTGGAGAATACAATTCGTGTGATAGTTTCCTTTACCAAATGTTCAGCAGCCACAGCACCACTTGTGGGGTTTACAACAGCCATTGTCCTTTCATTCAAGGAGCATCTCTTACTATTGTAGATTGGTGCTTCAATAGTCTTTTGAACTGGCGTAAGGGAACAACCAACTCCTATCCCTATTATTTAAGTCCCAATTATCACCGTATGAAAGTAGAAAAGGATCTTCAGTTGTACAGAATCAGAACTCTTATAGTGCATCAAAACTTGGGAGATGGTATGTAAAATGTAGGCCCCTTGAATTAGATAATGATAAATCTATGACTTTACACCTTCATGCGGCCTTTATAAAAATAATTTATAAATAAATTACCTCTAGTAATTCCCCCAGCAGTAGCAGAAATATTTTTCACATTTTCCTCAGAACCACCTGCATCATACCAGCCACGTAAACGGTGAGCTTCTGGGATATCTGGGTTCATTTGCACCACACTTGACATTGCAATTGACACACTCTTTGAACCACCAAATTCATTTATTCGGCCACCTTTCACAGCAATGACTGGATTCTTTGATACATCAAAATTTTCGGCTTCTGAACCCCAAAGGGTAACGTTTATCTGGAAATAAGAATTTATGGCTAGAGGAATCTGATAAATAGGCACAGCATGATTGTTTATGAATCCTGACAAGGTATAAAAAGTAGAGTTCGCACAAAAGATCTATGAACTCTATGACTCTCTATTTTCCGCAACATTACATTACTTTTTCAACACTGTAAATTAGTGAAAGTAAGCACACAAGGCCCAAAAATAAAAATGTCTATACTGTAATGGGACGGTCGCACATATAGGATGGCGACGCGAATTAAACATTAAATTTAAGATGGAAGCGCGCTTGCGTAAAGGGCGGCTGGAAACTTGCCGTTTGCTATACCTGAAGGCCGCTTAGCGCGCCGAGGGTACCGAGGAATGCACCGCGTTTGTTCAGCGCAACCCACGCCGGCCGCACCCTCGTCACGCATGGGGAAATACGCCTCCCGCACTCCCAAAGCAAACAACGGAATTACGCGCGCTCAGTTCTTGGAATTTACGTGGCGAAGGATACTTCGGAGAAAGTTGCCTGAGGGCAGCTTTGCCGCGGACGCCGATAGGCGAAGAAACCACGGGGGCCGCGACCAATCGCGATATGAGACGTGGGGGAGGAATCACGTGACACGCGAGCCTTCCCGAGGGACCGCCGGAGGACAATCGATCACTCGTTTTGGAGGCAACCGCTAGATCACTTGTTTCGAAGCGGGTAGACTTGTTACTTTGATTCGGAGCCGGGGCTATCCGTGCCTGGTCGTCCCGAATGCCACGCCGCCTCGCTACTATCGCAGCCCGACTCGCGTGACGGAAGCCGAACTATGGGACGGGACACCAAATGTGAGTGCCTGACCGCAAGAGCAAAATGAGCCGGGGCGTGAAAACACGACCACGAAGCGACCCGCCATCGCCTGGGCGCGGCCCTGCCACCTGCACCGCGGCCGCCGCGTAGTCGCCACAACGGAACCTGGGGCAAGCACCGACCGTGGCTGCCCGCCGCCAGACCTGCCGGGCGCTGGGACGCCGTAAGCTGGGTCACGACCGCCCCGGAGGGCGAGAACGACGGAGCTAATAAGAACTCTGGCCATGCCTTTTTTAAGGCCCGGCCTTTTTTAAGTTAAGATTAGTTGTAAGTTAATTGTAAGTTTGTTTCTGGCATTGGACTTCACCCGCACTGAATCCAATATTGATTCAAGTAACATTAAGAAAATGCCTAAGTATTTCTATCCAGTAGTTAGGCTATCACGCATGCCTCCCTCTAGTGAGTCTGCCGACGAAGCAGCCGGGCAAAGCTGAATCGCCGAAGGAAATGAGGTAATCGGGTGAGTCGGTGGTTACAATACTTACTCCAATATTAGTATTGTCAACAATCAGAACTTCACGTTTCTTGAGTTCCTTGTTTGTTGTTCTAGCTACCAACGTCTGCAAATCATTTGCACTTTTACAAACTCCAATAACATCTGCAAATAAACCGTAATGTTTTTAAAGATAGAACAGTTTGACAAATGTTATTGCTACATGCACATAAAAATTTTTCTAATAATACTTCAGAAATACGTAAGTTCTTAACAGAATTATAAATGTCACATATTATTCACTTCACTATTATTCTCAGTTTTGGTAAATAACTTGAGATTTGCAATTACAAAACATAGGTTCTTCATTGGCATCTTTACAGATGTCTTTAAAATATTTAATGAAATAAATTCTCTGAAGGACTTAAAACATTATAAAAATACTTTGCCAGTCAAAACTAGCTTACTAAATTGAAATTTTCCAATATTAATCCTCACTCTAAAGATAATTCAAAATTAAAGGGGTCAATCCATTTAAAGTGATCCAGCAATGGTTGTTCAACCATCTCCAAAAAAATCCTATTGTGTACATAAATTTCCATGTTTTGGCTATTCAAAAACTTCTTATCTGTTTTACAAATGGCAGCCATTTTTATTTTATGCCGTGTGCAATTTTTCACATTTACTTTCTTCTAAAACATTCAGCTCTAGGTTGTTCTAACATTCTACAAGAAAACACATTGGATTCAGAATACTCTGCCTTACAAATCTAAATTTTATTCACATCACTTCTGTTTTTATTTGGAAAATAATTGTAACCCAGTCTATGGAACGTGATTGATTGAAATTCAATTTTCGGAGATATATTTCTCAAATAAGGAATAGAATCACAATCTGAATTTTTTGTGCTTTTAGACATCACAGTATACTTACTTTTTGTAATATATCATTGGTAAATAACATACCAGTTGAAAATTACATTCTCTTAAAAATTGGGAATTTTGTATTGTATCAAATCTTTAACTAATATCTTTATTGGGGGACCAGCTAAAAAGCTGAAAACTGAACACATGCTAGATTGCGGTGGTACCAAACATTAGTAAAAATTTTAACATTAACATTTAACTCTAAGTATTTTTTTAAATTGTAAACTTACACACACAAAAGAGAGAGAGACAGAGAGAGAGAGAGACAGAGAGAGACAGAGCGAGAGACACAGAGCGAGAGAGAGACAGAGAGAGAGAGAGAGAGAGAGAGAGAGAGAGAGGCTATACCAGATCTCCCGCAGCATACTGAAGAAAATCGGATTTATGCAGAGAGAATTGTGTTCGTAAACACCGGGTAACAATCACGACAAGAACTGGGGTTTCCCAAGGACTATCTCGGAAATACACGAAAGCCAAAGGGTGGAATAACATCCAGAGGCAGACCCCACACAAGATGGAAAAGAAGACTCTGAGGACAGCCGGAGACGGGGCCACTAGGCCCAAGACCTTATGTTGCTGATGATTGATGATGAATTTTAAAAAACAGAGAGGAGAGAGAAAGAGAGGAGAAAGAGAAAGAGAGAGAGAGAGAAAGAACGAGGAGAGAGAGAGAGAGGAAAAGATGAGAGATGGAGAAGAGAGAGAGAGAGAAGAGAGAAGACAGAGAGAGGAAATAGAATAGAGAGAGAGAGAATGATGAGGAAGAGAGAGAAAGAGAGGAGAGAAGAGAAAGGAGAGAGATGAGAGGAGAGAGAAGGAGAGGAGAGAGAGAAGAGAAAGGAGAAAGAGCAGAGGAGAGAAAGAGAGAGAGAGAATAGAGAGAGAAGAGAGAGGAGAGAGAAGAGAGAGAGAGAGAAAGAGAGAGAGAGAAAGAGAGAGAAAGAGAAAGATGAGAGAGAGGAGAAGAGAGAGAGAAGGAGAAGAGAGAGAGAGAGAGAGCAGAATGTTGAGGAAAGTTATAAGAGTAGAGTGAGAGAAGAAAAGGAGAGAGAGAGAAAAAGACTGAGAGAGAGAGAGAGAAAGAGAGAGAGAGAGAGAAAGAGAGAGAGAGAGAGAGAGAAGAGAGAGAGACAAGAGTATTTTATTTATTTCTTTACGTTTAAAATTGCCCGATTACTGTTTAATTATTTCGCCCGACCTATTCTG